TGGAGCCAGCAATTTTGCTGTGTTACAATTCTTTATCTACAACAGAGACTTTAGCATGGGGAAAGTTCCTGTCTTTTGCAAGATTAACATTTCTATGTGTAATTTTAAAAAGTTAGGCTATATCTAAAACTACAGAGCTTTGGAAGCTAGGCCCTGTGAAATATATTTGCTTTATTAATGTTAGTACACTCCACATTTGAGAACAAATGGTTTTTAACTGGAAGACATATTTGAGAGCAAAAAGTTCAATGCCTAATTATTTTCTATGTCATTTAAAAGACTGAGCATTAGTATAGCTTGATTCTCTGTTTTAGGAGGTTGAAACATTAACCATTTTCTGTGACAGGGTATTTATAGAAAGATGCTGCATTCTTGGCAATATGCAATGTCTGTGGTTATTGAGTTGTTCTACTCTCTAAATGGAATGGTTTTCTCAAAAAATAAAGTCTGAGTGAACACTTGAGGGGTAGGACCCCGTAAATGCTGGTTTCTAATAACAGCTGCCAGAGTCTAAATCAGTCAGCCAGAAATTGCTTAAAAGCCACTTTGTAATAAACAGGAATTATTTACATGAATTGTAAATAATTAAGTATTCTCTCTTTTTAATTTTAAATACTTTCCTTGCAGACAAGAATGAAATACAGAATTATTGAAGGGACATAATAAGAAATTTCAATCACAGTAATTTCAATATGGTATATGATAGAATTACAATCTGCTGTTAATTCGTAATATTTTGGTGCCAATAGCAGGTCCAGATCATCTTCCTGCCTGTGTATTCCTCATCAAAGACCTAAAATCACAGGGACCATTGCAAGAGCTTCCGAACCAAGTGTTGTTGGGATGCTAGGAGGTGATGCATTTGCAGATCAGACCCACCTGCTAAACCAGCCTGGCCTGACTCAAGTTTATTTCAATCCAATGTTTCCCCCTAAATCTCCTTTCCCCATCGGACCATCCAATCAATAAATAAATTAATTTAAGAAAAGTTGAAGTGTTCCTACATGATAAGGAGCTAGTGACCATGAACTTTGTTGGAATTGAGGGCCAATCAGATAGGCACTGGAACAATGTTCCTTCTTTCCAAGAGCTGTGTATGTGGAGGGGAGGAAGGTGGACAGGAGGGCTGGGCTTGTGGTAGGATAAAAATAAAAGACAACAAATGACAGAGGATATGGGGCAGGCAGGGGGACTGTCTGGGCAAAGATGGCAAGTGTTAAGTTCTAATAGTTTCCCCTTAAGAACTCTGTGCAACTTCCCTAATTTACTTGTCCACTTCTAGGACTGTCTCCCGTCCTAGAGGTGGACACTCATGGGACATTTATTTGAGCATGTAGTATGTTCCATGTGTTGTGCCGAACACTAGAGCTACTTAAGCAAGATGCTTCTTTCTCCCTTAAATGTCTCAAAGTGCCTGCCAAGCCACCAAATGACCACATGCTGAGGGCTTGTGGAAGTCTCATGATGAGAACTACTTGAAGTCAGAGAGTAATGAGGTGTCTGGTTGTTTCAGGTGGGCGGCGTAGCTGTCGGGCTCATGAGCGTGTGCTCAAGGGTGGACATGCAGTTGTTGCATGAATGCTTCAATTTGGGGCCTTTCCATGGACTCTGTGTCCCACATCCTGATGATGTTCTGCAGCCACCACAAGAGCCAAGCAGTCAAGGAATTCAAGGTACAGTGGCTGTCACAGGAACACCTGAGGAAATTAAATCCATGCCGTATACACAAATGTGCTGTTTACTAAGTGATGGAACTAGATAAGTCATTTTATATTTCCTTCTCTCGCCCCCTTTAAGGAATGGTTCCCATGGTTAATCACATTCTTGTGATTATCTATGACCACAGATAGTCAGAAGTACATAGGTATAGTCAGACACAGTGACCTTGCAGCTGAAGTTCTCCCAAATCAAGTGTGTTCGCTTTTGCAGTGTTTGTTGTTAGAGAGGATATATAAGTACATTATGGTGAAGTGATTGCTAGCATTTCAGGATTTTACACACAAACACACACACACACAGCCTAAATACAACAAATAAGTTTGTCAAATCAAGAACACAAGATATTCCATATGCTTTTAAGTTTTAATCCCATCAATTAGTGCTTTTATGTTTATGTCTTTGACAAATCATTATGTAGCATAGGCCTGTTGTAGGTGGTCATTTTTAACTTGCTTATTTCTAGCTATATGAAGTAATAAAATCAATTTTAAAATATTGTCTGTATCAGAATTTTCATCAAGTGAAATTAGCAATCTTAAGCTTTGATGTTTTAATTTAATGAAGTTTTACCACATCCCCAGGTATCTGTGGTTAACTGTTTAGGTTCTTACGGCAGACAGAAGCATGGAGGCAAGTGACCTTGGGTACTTCAGTTCACTTTTGTAAACCTGGGTTTCTTCATTTGTAAAGTGAGGATAATAGTAATGCCTTCCACACACAGGAGTTGTGAAATTTCACTGACACAGCCATGTAAAGTGCTTTACACGGTATGTCAAGGAAACTTAGAGCTCAGTAAATGTTGATCATCATCATTAGTGACTGTTATTTCTTTGTGGTTGGCCTTTCACCTACTTGAGTCTTCCCAGGGTAAAATCAGCATATTTTAAATTTCTCTGCTTTCTCCTGAAAGGTGATATCAAAATTGTTCAAAAGTAGGAGGAGGAGCACTTTGGGTGGTGACAAACGGCTTGTCAGTCTAGACAATAGCAGGTGGTGATTGGGCTAATCTTTGGGTCAGGAAGGGAAAACCAAGCACATGGTTGTGCAGACCTTGTCTGAATGTACACACTCATTACAGAGAACTTGCAAAGCCATAGATAGAGAAGTGTTTTCCTTTTGTACTGATGATGACAGCCTTCCCAAAAGAGAGATTTGAGGTCGTGATTGTTTAATGGTGAGGGCTTGCTTGCCCATGCTTGTCAGTAAAGAGAGATCACAGGAATATTCTGAGGAACTTTTAAGCATGAGACAGTCCCGCTCCGTAACTTGTCAAATACTTAAATTTTCAAATGCTTTAAATTCTTCTTTGAAGGCAGCACTGAACAGGAGCCTTTTTATGGCTCAATTTTTTGATGTATAAAATGGAGACAAAATAGTATATAAGTTGGGAGTATTAAATGTTAGACTCTGCATGATGTAGTTAGCTCAGTGCCAAACACAGAATAAGTCCTGAAAAATTTTAAGTTGTTTCTTTTCCCACCTATGGCTGTTATGAAAAACAAGTTGAAATGATATAGTCCCTTCCAGTGTGTTCCTGAGTGGCTCTGATGCCACTAATGTTTCATACATAATGAATTAAAGAATTCCTGTCTTAGAAACTTTAGAGGGGTAATGAAATTCAAAATTTAAACTGAACCCTGGTCATAAAAACATGCATAATCTAGTATATCTCTGTCTATCAAACACTCACAGAGTTATGGAAGGTAAAAGAAATCCTACTTCTTTCTACCTTCTTTAATATTTTTGCTTAAAATCAGTTGATCTAGGACAGAGTGGTAAGTAAAGGATATAGGAAAACTTCTCTTGTTATCTTCTGTGCCTTATTCATTTTTGAAAATCAGCTTTATGTTAATTGACACAAAGATGATACTTTATGAAATTTTCACTAAAGAGCTACTATTGTAGATTTCCAAATAACTCAGGGATGGATTCACAAATCACCAACACATTATATCTAAGAAGAGTCATCAACACATTTTGCTGCCATCTTCCTATCGACAACAACAAAGAATGAGGCTCCAGAGAAAAATCCAAATGTACTATGATCTACAGTTACACATTTTTCTGATGAAAGATGACTCAAAGGGAAATATAATTTCTCTAAAATTCTTGTTTTATTTTATTTAAAAAAATTTTTTTGGTAGATGGCCAGTACAGGATCAAACCCTGGACCTTGGTGTTATCAGCACCATGCTCTAAACAACTGAGTTAACCAGCCAGCCTAACATTCTTGTTTTAAATGAGCACGTATCGTTGTAATTTAAAACTTGTAATTCGTTTAGTGCTTTTTACATTTCAAAGGATTTTTTATATTTTGTTTCATCCTCATAACTTGATGTAGGAGAGCAAGGACAGGTGAGATTCTTTCCATTTTGTACCTGCCCAAGTTCATCCAAGGTTTTAAAGCTCATCAGTGGCTGATCCAGAACCCAGATCCAGCCTCTCTCTGCTTTTGTGCAAGGTGACTTTTTAATCTTAGATGGCTTTGACTGAAATCTTCGGTGATGGAGATACATGATTACTTTTTTTGCCTCGACAAGTAATTTAATGAATTACCACTTTAATGAGTTATCAGTGCCCCGCCCAATTCTCTCAGAATTTATTTTTTGTGTGTGTGCTCTGGAAAACTTCTGTCTGTTGGTACCTTCACCTTCATATATGCGGGCTTTTCCAGAACTGTGGAAGGCCACTCTGAACTGTGCAAGAGGCAAGCCAGAAATGCCGGGAAATTAAGACTCTGGGAGCAGACTTTGCTTCCCGTCTCACATCCCTTCTCCATTGTTGGTGCCTTCTCCGTCAACTCCCAAGTAAATGGTTATACTTTAACCTTTGACTCAAGGTCAGCTTCTGAGAGAATCCAGACCAAGACACTACTGGTCTGGTCTTTTCCTACCAGCTGTGAAAGCATTTATTTATACACAACTGCCTAGGGTCAGGGTATAAATATCCTAACTCTCTCACACCTTAGGGGGCAGGACTCTGAGACATGAATTTTGGGTAGTTTCCCAGAATTCCCTATAGGATTAATATCCAGTTGTCACTGTTGGTAAACTGAGCAATA